GCCAGCTTCAACCCTGCATTTCAAATGCAAGAAAACACTTGTGTGAGATTGACCAATTCCTGATCAAATGTTCTGCCATATACTATGATATCATCTAAATACACCATTCAAATTGTCCAGGGTAAACCGACAAGGACATGGTCCATCAGCCTTTCGAACATTGCTGGGGCATTACATAAGCCGAAAGGCATTACTCTGAACTGCCGTAACCCCCCAGCAACACCGAATGCGGTTTTCTCTTTATCGTTACTGTCCATTTCCACTTGCCAACAACCCGACTTCAAATCTAAAGTAGAGAACCACTGTGATCCTCCGAGAGCGTCAAGCGTATCGTCGATGCGTGGTAACCGATAGGAGTCCTTGACCGTGATGTTATTGAGTTTTTTGTAATCAACACAAAAACGCGAGCTTCCATCCTTCTTTTCGACGAGAACAATTGGGGAAGCCCAGGGACTTGTCGAAGGTTCGATGATACCTTAGTTTTCCATGTCTGTTATAGCTTGACTCGCCGCAGTTCTCTTAGAATAGGGAAGTCGACGTGGCGGTTGCTTGATAGGTCTTGCATTTCCAGTGTTTATCTTATGTTTCACAAGTTTAGTTCTTCCGAGGTCATTAGGTCCTTGGGAGAATATGTCTGTGTTCTCGCAAAGAAGGTTATACACTTTAGTTTTCTCATCTAATGATGTCAAGTCCTTTATACTGTTCTCATATAAACTGTCTAAATAAGATCGATGGAAGTTTTCGATCTTTCGCTGGAACATTCTTCATTCTATCATTGCTTTCCATGCAACTTTCGTCAGAAATACGGGCAACCAGTTAATTCACACTTAGCTAACTCTGACCCAGCTTTAACTGGCACTACTGCATCTGACAAATTAGTTAAAACCTTTCCGACTAACAGCTCAGGTGTTGCCTTTCCAGGCATAGCTCCAATAATACCAAACTCTGACTTTCCGTTGTAATTCATAATCTTGGCTGGAACGATGGTCTCAGTATGAGGCTCTACACTTATCCTGCATCGCGACTACTCGATAGCACGGAAAACCATAACCACCATCATCGTTCAAACGGTCCAATAAGGGTACTCGCATGTCTTCAATCATGCATTTATTCGTCATATCCAAGCAACACCCGTGTTGCTCCAGGAAGTCACATCCCAAAATGCATTCTTCGTTCATGTCCGCTATCCAAAAACTTTGGAAGAATTCACGATTTCCTATGCTTAGCTTTAGTACAATTCTTCCAAACAGGGACATCTTCTCACCTGTAACTAAGCGCAAAGAGTTCTTAACTGGTTGAACATTTTACATATCTAGACCAAATTTCCGTAATGTCTGTTCGCTTAATATAGAAATGGTACTCCCCATATCCACTATCATTCGACAATTTTCTACAGTTCCCTCAACATACAAACCATCTCTTTCTTCCGATTGAACAGTGTCCTGTGCTCTCTCTAGGGTTTCCTCATTTATCTCTGTCGACCCTCTCCCTGCAGACCCGACTGCTCCTCGTTTCCCCGAATCTGTTCGTTCTGCAACCTCTTAAAAGTTGGGCATTCACGTTGGATATGTCTTTCAGAGTTGCACGTCCAACACTTACGTTTCTCTCTAGATGGGATTTTTCTGGAACTTTGTTTCTTTGGTTCACGTCACTTACTATTTTACGTAACTCGGCAGTCATTAATTTTAATTCAGCTAAAAATTCATTGTTCTCGCTGACCGTGTTGTCTGCGTTAGTAACCGTACGACCAGCAGCAGCACTTCGGTCTTCATCGGGTGCCGAACCTTGTATTGTTCTCACATATCTTGTTCTACGCTTAGTTGCGAGAGTAAATGATTCTCTAATGAGACACCAAGGGCTGCTCGTTGCCGGTCTACCCTGAGCGACTCTTAATCGAAGTTCGTCATCTACAAGAGCGTCGATGAATTGGTCCTTGGCTAAGGTTTCCAATACCGCTGAAGTTGCCTCGGGGTAGGCCAGCTTTGCTAATCTCTCGATGTCCTCCGCCAATTCTGGCAAACTTTCCTCACGCCGCCTCGAACGACTGCGAAGTTTCATCCGATGCAACTCTGCTTGTCGTTGACTCGCATATCGACTTTCGAGGGCTGCAACCAAGGAAGGATAATGGTTTCGATGCTCTGGTGACAAGTTCGATAAGACAGTAAGAGCATGTCCCTTTAATCTGCTAGCAAGAAAGCGGCTTTTTCTCCTTCAGACCACCGATTAATGCCAGCTACTATTTCAAATTGCGTACGATAGGAGTCCCAGGGTATCCGACCATCAAACGTCGCAGGCTTTTGAATAGGACGAGTGGCTCCAAGTTGGGGTTGAGGCATGGTGGTTATCTCCGCGGTCTGCGCGATGGGCGTAGTAACTGGCATAAATAGACGACTTTCTGCAGACTGCTGGACTGTTGAAGGAACGACGGTGGAATACAAATGCTGCACAGGGATAGAAGTTGCAATCCTAGACGGGGAGGGTGCTTTCATCGTATCCACCGTGCATCCGTGTTCGGGGCTTCTGAAGGTAATTGTATCTTGAGTTTTTCTATCACTTGTTGAAATCTCCCGTTTTATTTCAGGTCTTTCCAGTCGTTCTCGCGTAGATTTCTTTTCATGTAGAATTTCAGTACGGAATTCTTCGAAGGCCGTCGAAAATTCGCCACGCAAAGGCCTTACTCTTGGGACCTAAAACGGGCTTAAAGTCGCTTAAAGTCGCCTTAAATCGCCTTTAAGAGGCTGTCTCCGTAAAAACCTCCAGGTCAGTATGGGGCTCAAAAATAGATTTCTCTCATACTCTAGTATTTTGAAGATCTATCCTTGGGAACAACTAAAATCGATGTCGTTTTACTCAAATTTCCTTTAAATTATTTTTGGGGGCGATTGATTTTCGATCGACTGGTAACCAACTTGATACTCCGAATGAAGGCCAAATATCGACATATTTTCAGCGCTATTTTTTAAATCAAATTCATACCTAAATTTCAAAATTTTGCTCAGAAATATAGACTTATCCTTCTATTTTCGCGGGTGATATGACTTAGATCATTATTCTTTGGTATAAAATAGAAAACAGCGCAGTTATTGACCCTCCTGAACGGATAAAGGATATCGTCTCAAAATATGTCAACTTCGAAAGCTTATTTCAAAATCGTGGCACTTGATTGGCACATGACTTTAACTTTTCTATAAACTACTAACATTAGTCAACACAAATCGCCAATAATATCTTTCTGATCTACCATTTGACAAAAATGACAAGCGCGCAAACTTTGTAAAATTTGAAAATGTGTCGAAATCGAGCATACTTTATCGGTAAACATAATTCTTGATATTAACAAATAAAACCACCTTACACTACACTGAATGAAGCTTGATTATGTAAATATATGTCTTTCATCATTATTCTTTGGTTTTGCACTCGAATGAAATTGTTTGACTGTACAGTTTGGCTTCAAGGATAGTCATTCAATGCCAGTGTGTCCAGTGTGTTCGAATTCTGCGCGCCTCAATGCCATGAGTCCTGATTGTGACATACGAACTTCGCTCTGTTCGCTTTGTTTACCTCCTGTAAATAAAATGTCTCAAAGAAATTAGAAAATTCAGAATTAGTCATACTACAGACATAATTTTCATTGGTTTGTTTACCTTAAACTGTTATATAAAGTTTCGTTTTATAGAATGTACGAATTAATCTCGGGGAAAACTCCTAACCGAAAGAAATGTACTCGCTGAGCGTAAACATGTCAATCAAATGACGATGAAATGTTTCGTTGCTCTCTGATTTCCCTTTCTTTGTATTGAATTAAATAGTGGTCTTAGACAGTATTGCACGAGGTTTTTGTGTTTACAATAATGGTGTTCTACTACAGCCGCAATTTGTGATCACGCAACGTTAGGTAAACCTATAAACGATTTCGACCGACAGTAGATTTTATGTTGACAGATGAGAATGACGGTAAGCAATAATGTAGAAATGTTCCTTTTCTACTTCTGAGTGTGGAAAATTCCGAGACACAGTAGACTGTTCTTCAAAGTTGCTGGCGTGTAAGAATGACATTAGTTATCACTTGCAAATGTGTCACCTTTTAAGCCTGGTTCACATATATGCCTGCGACGTACCGGCGACGATGCCGGTGGTAGCTTAAAACGTAAATTATGTGAATATTTGTTCGCCGATTGCCTCCAGTGCCTCAGTTACATCGGCGGTAGGCCGGGAAAGTTGAGTTGAGTTCAACTTTGCCGGTATTTCGGCGGCAAGTAGAGGCATAATGATACAGTCGCAGGCATGCCGCAGGCATATGTGGACCAGGCTTTAAAGCTTGTCGGAAAGAAGAATATAAATTAATTCTAATTTTCAGAACCTTTCTAATTGTTACTGAAAAAAGGAATAACATTGATTAAATAACTGAGACGTTCAAATGGGTTACAGCTGTTTGCGCTGAATTGTTTTGAATTATATCAAAATATTCGCATATTTTTATACAATAAGAAATAATATAAATTCTTGAAGCATAGCCTTGAGCAAAGTGACCCAGGGTCGGCCTGAAAAAGTTGATTTTTTATACAGAACCGTGACTTACTTGAATTCTAGTTTCATTGATAATTGTTTCTAAACCTAGAGACAATTCATTTGCTAGAAAACTATACTGAGCGAAACTAACGAAATATTGACATTTGACATCACAGCGAGTATACATTTCTGATTTCTTTCGGCCAGGGCCCGGGGTTTTCCCCGAGATTTAATTCGTACATTCTAACGAAACTTTTATAAAACAGTTTAAAAACGATGAAAATTCTGTCTGTAGTATGACTAATTCTGAGTTTTCCAATTTCATTGAACATTGTTATTTGTTAAACAGGTAAAGGTATTTGTTAAAGAGGTAAACAAAGCGAACAGAGCGAAGATTGTATAGTATGTCACAATCAGGACTCGTGGCATTGAGGCGCGCAGAAGACACTGGACACACTGGCATTGAATGACTCTATCCGTGAAGCCAAACTGTACTCAAACAATTATTTTTGTCAAATGGTAGATCAGAAAGATATTATTGGCGATTTGTGTTGACTAATGTTAGTAGTTTATAGAAAAGTTAAAGTCATGTGCCAATCAAGTGCCACGATTTTGAAATAAGCTTTCGAAGTTGACATATTTTGAGACGATATCCTTTATCCGTTCAGGAGGGTCAATAACTGCGCTGTTTTCTATTTTATACCAAAGAATAATGATCTAAGTCATATCACCCGCGAAAATAGAAGGATAAGTCTATATTTCTGAGCAAAAATTTTGAAATTTAGGTATGAATTTGATTTAAAAAATAGCGCTGAAAATATGTCGATATTTGGCCTTCATTCGGAGTATCAAGTTGGTTACCAGTCGATCCAACATCAATCGCCCCCAAAAATAATTTAAAGGAAATTTGAGTAAAATGACATCGATTTTAGTTGTTCCCAAGGATAGATCTTCAAAATACTAGAGTATGAGAGAAATCTATTTTTGAGCCCCATATCGACCTGGAGGTTTTTACGGAGACAGCCTCTTAAATATGGAAAATCAGAGTACTATTGTACACAATGGGAAAAGTGGGGAAAATTTCTTTCTCTCCCCCCCCCCCAATTTTTCCCTTCCCGTACGCCTATGTTTGTGAGCTCACGTGAAAATACTCAGAATGCTTTATTAGTTAAATATCATGGTTAAATATATATATTAATTGACATGTTGAGGTTGTTACACAGCCATATTTTCAAATATACTGTACTTTAACAAGCAAGTTTACTGTACTGTGCTACAGCAGCTGTCCAGTTGCGCATACGTAATAAAAAGCCGAATGTAAACTTTGTGAATGAAATATAAGGTAAAACGTAACAGAATGGTGAACATGCAGATTCAACTATCTCAAATAATAGCTGGGGTAGTAATGAGAGCATGGTAGCATTGCCGGCTGCAGAGGAGAGTCGGCAGTATAAGGCTCTCTCATGCACCACCCCATAGAAAATATGTGCCCCTCATTGCAGATGAGGCTAGAGCCTCCCCTTATATATTCATGCGTTCCCATTAATTTATGCTGACACAATGACTGCATAAAGCTTTAAAGATGGGGTGCATGTAATCGAATAAACAGGCAGACATAAAGAAATTTCGACATGCACTGAATGAAGAGCAATTGTGACATCTGTGACATCTGCAGTAATTTGCATGTGCCAGAGCCAGAATGACAATCGCATACAACTAATCGTATTATGTAGACAGGCCTTAATGTGGTCAAAATCTGAATGTGTATAAAAAAAATGAAATTGACAAGGAAGGTCTGGTGGACAGTTTGTGGCCAGATTGTCAAGAGCTGCAAGGGGACAGCTAGCAAACACCTATTTAACAGCTTTACTTTGGCACGTGTAGATGACATACGGTAGATACAGTAACTACATTGAACAAGAATATAGAAAATAGTAACTATGGAAGGTGCCAAACGTGGCGAAACACAAACGAGACTAGATACCATGCATGGTGCTTACCGCTAGATGAGATAGACGAATAGAAGAGCAAGAAAGACATGGAATAGAAGAATGAAAGCTGGATGGAAAACTAGAAGCACGGAAGAGACAGTGGCGTAGGCGAGGGGGCGGGCCCCAATCGCAAAAAAAACCATTCTCTGAAAAAGGCTAAATCCGTAGAGAAATGGGGGTACACGTTACATCCCCCAATCTAAAACTGATTAAGTACGTCTCGACTGAGGAAAACGACTTGTAAAATTAAACTTGATTTGTAAAATCTCGTTAAAGCAGTTGTAGATATGGTTCCAAGAAGAATAGATTTAGTTTGGTTTAGTTTAGTTTACATGTATGCATTATCATAGCATGAATATTCTTCTCGGACTTATTCTGTATCGTATGAAAAAGCAACGCAATTTTGAGAATGCGGAAATGCTGTCTCATAGAACCTAGAATGATTTAAATGCAACATTTCTGATCACAATCACATTGGGATTTTCTTCCCCCAGCATCGCAGAGGGGAAATAAGGTGACGCTGACCGGCTCTTCTGTTTTTCAAGGTGACTTTTCCAATTTATTTAATTCCGAGTAGAAAATTAGAAATGTCTGGGAAAATTTATGTCTTCGATCAGTTCGATGTACTTTATAATCTTCGGAATTCTGCAAGATTTCACCCCCAAAATGCTTGAAATCGCATTTCAGGGACTCTAGATTTCAAAATTTTCCCGGGGGTGCATGCGCCCGGACCCCCCTAGATGGTCTCGCGCCTTTGGCGTTCGCTTCGCCCCCCCCCCCCAAAAAAAAAAATGAAGGTCTGGCTACGCCACTGGGAAGAGAGAAGTGGTAGAATGAATGGCCTGGAAGATATTAGTTAATCGTGATCAATGAGTGTGCGCTAGGTAAGTCGGTAGTCGAGGTAAGTCTTGTGTGTAGGTACTGTATGATTTAAAGAATAAAGGTGGAGAGAGTGCCGTAGCTACGTAGCAGTTGGAATTAGGAACAGATTTACGTAATACTATATAGTTCCACAGTTGTAGATATATAGTTCCACAGTTTTAGAATGCTAACGTTTGAAAAGTACTTGTTTTACAACCTTGCGTTCTTAGAAGGCCAGAACTGAGAAGTGGTCGTGTGTGTCCTGCCTGCTGTAGTTTCAACATACTGTAATGTGTCAAGATCTGTGGGACTGTACTTACATTTATAAAACAAGATTTAGTCCTTCTGTTCTCTGTCGTAAACAAGCGGGACGAGGTTTAGTTGTGTTAAACGTTCCACATAACTCATTTCGCCACGTTTCTTCAGTAATACCCACAAAATCGCCCTCTTCTGGACTCGCAAGTCAAGAATAAATTACTTGACCACGCCCGGAACAGCTCATTAACATCAGACAAGCTTGATCCGTTTGACGCCGCTTACAGCTCGCACTAAATTTCCAACATTAACTTACTAGTTCCTATTAGAGGGCTTTATCCAGGCACCAAACATTTGACCTCCGGTAAACGGAGGTCAAAACTCAATCTTGGATCTTGGATTGAGTTTTTAAACTGAATCCTTCCCCCAACCAAAAGAAAAACAGCAAAAAATCATTTTCACACGCTTTAGTTTTTGGAATTTCGAGAAACAGGGTTATTTGAGCTGGGGTTTTTTCCAAAATAACACGACATGTTTGATGTTTATGTTATAAAGCTACCTCTATCGTACCCAGGTACCTGTGATCTGTGATCGTATATTTTGTGTCTTGTGCCCACCATGTATGCCTGTTTGGATTTCTGATAAAATTTTCGATCAAATCGGTACAAAATGAAATGTGATGATTTAACAAATATTACAAATAGAAAGTAAATGTTTCGAATTAAAATCTAGAATTTACACAACCTTGAACTGGAAGAGTGAAAAAGCCGCAGAAAAAATACACTCGAACACGTGTACATGGATGCATGGCCTCTTTGGTATTGCACAATGTTTACATAAGATTACATCATTCACAAACCACGCGTTACATTCGAGCAACGTGATGGCAACATAGTCTAAGATGCTGAAATAGCAAGAGCTTTCAGGGACTTTGCCCCTAGACGCCCAGGGCTACATTCCTGCGTCACAAAAACCGAATCCTCTTTTCTAAAACAGGGGTCAGCAAAAGTGCTTGGATAAAGCCCGGCATTAAGTTTGGCCATTACATAACCTGATTGAAACGTCCGCATATTCCAGGATGCTTGCACTTTTTGCTGTACTATTGCCGTTTTCGTGTCATATAGGGATGAAAGAGGCGACACGGCTCCACCCCAGCTTGCAAGATCTCCCGTAAATTCACCTCAGAAAATAAGCAGCCCTAGTAAATCATCAGGCGAACACTCGGCACATGGCAGTCAGTCGTCGTCTGTAATGGCGCCAACACATTCTGGTCGACATCAGGCTCACCGTGGTTCTGGTTCTGTTGGCTCAGCTGGACCACCTAGTGGAGGTTAGTAGCCTGCGTTATGGCAGGTTTACACTATCAAAGTTTCTGTGGTCACAGTAGGAATTTTGCATCTAGGTAAATTCTAAGCTTTGAAGAATGTGTAGGAAATGTTAGCTAACACTCATTGTTCAACTCCTTCAATTAAGAGTTAAAATTTACCTGCGCAAAATTCCTACTGTGATCACAGAAACATTGATAGTGTAATGGCTTACACTATCAAAGTTTCTGTGATCACAGTTGGAATTTTTCGCAGGTAAAGGCTGGCGCCTTTGAGGCACTGCTATACAGAATGTAAGGTTTCGTGGAACTTTGCTCAATTGACAATTTTCATTATAGACTAATTTTAAAGCTAGGCAAGGAGATGCAATCACCACAGCTAGAAAGAGCATACTAAAATGAGTAAAACTATAAAGTTTGGTTGCGAAATGTTGTAAAATGCGGAAAATACAGCCTTGCAAAGTTCGCAAATTTTGTATACTTTTGTATTGCGTGCGCGGAAATTGCTACCACATTTGGGCCGAAAATGGTACAGTATAGCAATTTCCGCACAAATTTCCGCACAAATTTCCGCATATTTTCCGCATTATACAATATTTCGCAACCAAACTTGCAATTTTACTCATTTTAGCATGCTCCTTCTAGCTGTGGTGATTTCTTTGCATCTCCTTGCCTAGTTTTAAAATTAGTATATAATGGGAATTGTCTATTTCATTTAAACTGTGAAAATTAAAAGTACTTTTCAGTTTGTAATTTTTAATACAGAGGACTTCTGGAATGCACAGTGCATTTGTGTCAATAATTCATTGTTTGAAAATTAAAACTTCTAAAGTCCGTTGAATCAGTTAATTTCTTTTCGCATTTGTTCAGTCTGTTCTTGGGTTTCGCTACGGCATTATGCAGTGAATCTGACGGGGGGTCAACCTCAAATGTATTGATGCTTATGCTGTACTGGAGTGAGAAAATGATACGAAATTCCATGTATTTGCCACCAAACACAAGGCTAATACATAAAACGAACAATCGACTCACTCTGATAACTGTGTTTTGTTTTAGAGTTGATGCCCCGTCACTTTTGTGACGTCAT